GGTGATGTCATACTTTGGTATGTCCAATTATTTTGTCAGGTGATGTCATACTTTGGTATGTCCAATTATTGTGTCAGGTGATGTCATACTTTGGTATGTCAAATTATTGTGTCAGGTGATGTCATACTTTGGTATGTCCAATTATTGTGTCATCCATCCAGGTTTAGATGCACTTTTTAGTCCCCTTACAGACACCTGGACTGATTACATTCAAACTTCACACATACAACATACATAATATTATACATATGCTCATCAATTTGTCTCAGTTGTTGTTACATTCTGATTCAAGATGGCTGAATGGTGGCCATTTTTGTGATGAAAAATCATCAAATATCAAGCATTTATGACCTAAGACACTAGATGGATTTTGTTTAAACTTGGTGCATACATTGGACATTATAGCACGTCATTTTATTTTTCAAATCTGATTCAAAATGGCTGACTGGTAGCCATTTTGTTTTAATGAATGTGGTATCTGTGACATGATTTGACTTAAAATTTTATATATTTATTCTACATCATGTTATAGATATTGAGATGTATTCAAAATGGATGACAAGTGGCCATTTTGATTTAATTAATGCTGTTGCACAGCAATATCTCTCAATATAGACAAGTACTGGTTTGACAATCAAATACAGAATGACTGAATGTCAATCATTTTAATGTTAAAAAATCATCATAATGACGCATCAGCTTCTGGATTCTTATCTCTGATGTGTTTGTTTGAACTATATTACTATATACAATCTTAAGTTTGATAACTAACAGGGATGTGCCATGCAACCCTCAGTGTGTATGTACTATTGAACTAACTTTATTTTAAATATTTTAATTTTGAAGGCAAAAGAATGTGAATTAGAAGAAATTGAGAAGTTATTGCATGGTAGTGCTACGAAGGAATCTCTGAAGCATTGGAAAGACAGTCACCCAGAGTACTGTGGAAAACACAAAGATGTCAAAAAGAAACAAAAAGACCTGAAATCAAAGAACTCATCTAAAAAAACACCAAGTCCAGAAAAGAAAAGAAAGAGCAGGGCAAAAGATGGAAAAAAATCTACTAAAGAAGACGAATCTGAGAAAGGATCGGATATAGATTATCATGAAACACACCTCTGAATGGGTTGACCACCCCTATGCACTAGTTCATATGGTACGGTCTATTAGAATCTGGGCAATAATGTTGTATTGTACCATACACTACCCTCTATTGGAGGATTTCTGTTTTCGGGGTTACATTTGACTAACACCTACCTCTTTCAAAAAATCCTAATTAAATCATCAATTTGTGAAACATGGTCATTAAACAATGTTTTATTTTTCTAAATATTAAAAAGTGTTCATTGTGACTATCGTGAATGGGTGTAAACAGATAAACTACTACTGTAAAGGGACTAATTATTCACTGGGTTTTAATTTTGCTTATTTCGCTGACTGGAAAATGCGCTAAATTAAAACACAGTGAATTTCTAAAAAATTTAGCATAGAACACATTATCTAAATGACGAAACCGTGAATTTAAAATCCACTGAATATGCCTGAAATGGTAAATCAGTGAAATTTAAACCCAGTGAAAATTAGTCATTTTACAGTATCCAACATTATTTTTGATTATGAAAGGTGGTATAAGTTTTTCCACATTCTCTTTTAAAAATTTTTTTTTTTTTGACATTGGTTCCAACAGATCAAATGTCATCGTCAATATTCAGAAAACTTGTGTTAGTATAATACAGCATTCTGATTGGTCAAGAACAGACTTGACCTTTCAGGTCAGAGGGCGTTGTTGCAGGTCAAATCGTGCAGAAAATCAGACAAGTATGTTAATATTGAGTTACACATGTATTTGTACAAATAAATGAATAATGCCAATATTGAGAATAGTTTAATTTGTCTTAAGATATGTTTAATCATGAATGGGTGGTTAATAAACAAAACTAATTGTCCTAAAATAGTTTGACCACCAATAAATTTGGCCATCATGTATCTCCATGTCTTTTACTTCTAAATAAATTAAATACCATGTAATTTAAAACTATATCATATAAATGTACACTCATGTATTTGAAAGAGACATCAAGTCATTTTTACTTTGGTGGTCTGTTTTATTTTCTTACAAACAAAGGCCATTTCACTGATGTCTCAGTTGCATCTAAAAATCAATGACAAAAAAAATGTTTTTATTTTGAGGCATGCTTAAATACTGTACTGTCTGAGTAAGTAGGTTTTTTTCCTTTTATTTATTTGTCAAAAAAATACACAAATCAGGTTATTACTAGAACATAATTATATTTTGATGTCAACAAAATTAATTGTCAAAATGATGAGTTACCACAAAAAGGACAAAATCAGTGACTAATTTGAATAAAAAATTTAATGAATTGTATAAAATAAAATGTTTTCATTTTCGAATATTTTGTAATATTATTGGAAATACTGATACAGCAGAAAACTTTTTTTCAGCCAGCCATATATGTGTATATATAATTACTTCCTGGTATGTCTGATTGTGAGT